TATGATTTCTAAAACTTCAAGTCCAAACACAAAAGAATAGCTTTAATATCCTTAAAATTCTGCTAACCACATATATGGTCATTAAATGTATTCCTTACACAAACATTTCCATTTACCAATCTAATAAAGCCATTGATCTCTGAGTTAAATTTTAAAACTACTTTAAATGGCCAGGTCCAGGAAAGGCGCTGACACATTAGTCATTCAATTATAATACTATCTCCTATATTAAATCAATAAGTGTTTGTTTCTACAAAGCATTATTAATTTTGTTAACTCCATGTTATATTCTGACCTGACATTATCACAAGCATATCTACAATATAAATTACAAAAGCCCTGTGAGCAAATCAGGTTCTGCTTACTCTGTATTTAAAAAATAAAAAGAAGACATTATGGGCCTCCCTGGTGGCGCAGCAGTTGAGTGCTGGGTTGCGAAGCTGCCCACAGCCTCTGCAGCGCCAGTTCGATCCCCGGCCGCCAGGCGAGGGTCCCACATGGCGCACAGACCTCTCCTGCCGCCCGCTGCTCCCCTCAGCAGTGTATTTCATCAGTCTACCTGCTTTGCTCTCCCCTCTGGCTCTGGTGAATTCTCTCACCCTCCCGTGCTTCTGACTGTAACCAGTGCTTGTATAAATAAATAAGTAAATAAATCTTAAAAAAAAAAAAAAGAAGACATCACAAACTTAAACACTAAACTTAAGGGTTTACATATAGTAGGAAGGTTTTCCCTTTGCCAAAAAATAAGCTTGTCTATTGGAATGCATGTTTAGTTCATTTTCTTGTCTTCATACCTAGCACTATACCCTGTGACAGATGTCATGTTCAGAGAACACTTGCTGTAGGAATAAACTATACACAAATATAGAAAGAAACTATCAGGAACTGTAACATCCCAACAATTTTTCAGTGATTTCTCTGAAACTGTGGGTGCCCAAGCTAAACACTCTATTCTACCTTAGGTAGGCTCATCACAAATATAACTCACTAAAACCTCAGTCAATGGCATTGTAATTTTTTCCCATTAATCAAAAAGCACATTCTATATTCATTCACAACAGATATTACTACAAACTAAACATCTCTCTTTGCAACACCTATCTACATATAAGTAACAGCTGTCCCTAAGAGGTTTGGGAGACCATCCTTTATTTCTGTTGGATTAGGGAATCATTGGGAGTTCTTTATTAAATTATATAAGAGTTGTGAGGTTTAAAGATATCCAAAAAGTGCTGAAATCACTATTATCAAAAGTTTTTGAACTCTATTAAGACAGCTTTCAGAATCAATTAAGATAAACAAAAATGCCTTGATTGCTCAACATATCACATCAAATTTGGCCTAAAATGACCAGTGAGCATTCTAACATCGAATGTATTCTCAAGATATTGTAGATCTGCCACCAATAAGGACACTGAAAACAATTTACCAACATCTGTAAATAATAACCCAAGGCATTATTGGAAAAAAAAGAATATTCTGCAAAAATTGCTGACTTCAAGAGCAACATATTCATGGAATACACATGTTTGCATCACATTTCTTTCAAACACCATGCTGTTACTTATCAGGGCAGTTTAACTGCTGTGCATGATACTAATTATATCATGCATATGATTATCCATGATGCAGTTTAACTGTTCTGAGTCTTAGGGAATGACATTTCTCCTCAGTGGGTTCCATTATTTGAAATAAGCAAGTATACACTGTTTTATAAGGTTATGAAACACCTTTTTTCCTTAAAGTAAAAAAGGTTTGAAAGAGGCAATGAACAAGAGCAAACTGCTCTGAGTAAGGTGTTACCAGGGGATAATTACACTCCCAGATTCACAAAGTTAAAAGCAGCAATTTCAAGTACATACCCATCAATTTCTTTCTTCCCCAAACAGTAAAAATATCTGCAACTGGTAATTGAGAGTCAATTTTAAATTTCTGTGTATACTGTTTTCAGTATGTCTCTGAATAATATTTATTTTATACCTATTTCATATCACTTTACACCTATTTCCTATCAATTATACAGTTAAATGAAAATGTTTCAGATCTATATTTCATTAATGAAACACTGTAAATTATTAAGCAGTAATAATTTTGTTAACCCCATGCCAAATTAATTAAAAAGATGACTGGCAGAGGTAATCTCAAATCATTCATATATCTAATCTAAATATAAAATCTGTAGAGATTTCCTTCTTAAAGACTTTACAGAAAGTAACAGTTCATATTTCCTGGGCTGACAGCACCTAGACAAGTGAGGAAAGTGGTTCTACAGTCAACATGAAAGCCAGACTAGAGTTAAAATCTGACTATGAATGTCTAAAGTGGGGACAATGAAGAGAAATGAAGAACTTATAAAATCAGTACAAATATGAATAAATACAAGTACCACCAAGTATATAAAAGTAATACCCAACATGAAAGTAATATTCAAGTGGCTGCCTCCAATTCTTGTTACTATTCCCAAATAAGATGAAAATAGGTTTACATAACAAAGTTAATATTCTTATATAAACACATCAGGACTATTATGTTACATAGAAAAATACTGTTATAAGATCAAAGACATACTGCTAATGGGCTAAAATTGAAATTGAAATGTGTTAGATATTTAATGTCACCTAGAAAAAGTCGAGCTCTGTTTTTGTTAATGTTTTAGGAAATTATCTTACAGGCCATTTTCTTACTATTCAAACTGCACTGTCAGAATACGTTATGGCAAGTTCAGGCTAAATTATACTAAAAATTGCTAATAAATACAGAGAAGTAATTCCAAAGGCATAAGATAGATTCTGCTGTCTCAAGATTAAGTATCAAGGGCCTCCCCGGTGGCGCAGCGGGTTGAGCGCCACGCTGTGAAGCTGCCCACAGCCTCTGCAGCGCGGGTTCGATCCCGGCTGGCCAGCGAGAATCCCACATGGTGCAGCAGACCTCTCCTGTCTCGCCCGCTGCTCCCCTCTGCAGTGTATTTCTGTCATCTGCCTGCTCTGTTCCCCACTCTGTCTCTGGTGAATCCTCTCACCCTCCCGCGCATCTGGACTGTACCCCAGCTCTTGTATAAAAATAAATGAATCTTTAAAAAAAAAAAGGAAACTGCTATGAAAAGAATAAATCCCAATTCTCTCTGATCTTCACATGCGATCTTGAAGCTAGAACTCGCCAATTACACACGCAAAAGCAACTGTGAATACGGGTAAAGTGCAGTGTTTTAGAACAGACTTCACTGCCTATGTGACTTCAGGTAAACACAAGGTGTCCCGCCTCACCTGTATAATAGGGATGTCAGAGCAGACCACAAGGAATAAACAAAACAACCTATATTAAATACCGGGCAGGTACGTTTTACAAAACATAGAAATTCTGGTCCCAATCAATATACATACAGATCGATACAAAATATTCAGATGTGGGTATGCACCAGTCAGTCTACACACATACCTCCTAGCTCTGCCCACTGAAAGGACCTAGCAGCACTTCACTTCATGGGAGCAAAAAGCACATCTAGTGCCTATGTGTATGTTCTAAACACCATCTCCTTCTAAACACCATCCTCCTAATGAAAGCGATCAGGACTCTGTAGGAAAATGGCTATTTCCAAGGCTGGGGAACGGAAGATATGAGACTACTCTAGTACAGCCTAGGGAGGCATCTTGTGGTCCCAGAAAATAAGGAAGTGCACAGCAAACAATGGAAGCATGCTGAGAAGGCCTTAGGAGGCAGCCTGAGTAAGTCCTATGACCAACGTTGGAACAACGTGAATAGCAAAATAATGACAGTACTGGACTATGACTTGTGCAGTAAATGCCCGTGAAACCATATTGACGCAAGTAAGGAGAAGGGACAGCTTTTCTTTAGGTAAGAGCTACAGCAATAAATGTGGAAGGCACAAAGAAAGCAGAAAAATCACTAGAGTAGTAACTGATGCAGACAAAGTGCACTGAAGAATACTAAAATTAGTGAGTAAAACACTGAGCAGAAACAGGTTATTTGTTATCTACTGTAAGAAAAATAGCAACTTTGCTACAGAGCTAGCTGGTCACAGAGGCTTAATACACTAGGAAAAAGACACTGATATCACCAAGCCCCTCGTATGATACATAGAGAAAGATAAAGTGAACACAACTGTGTTCTTCTTACCAAAAATGTGTTCATGGGGCCTCCCTGGTGGCGCAAGGGTTAAAGTCTCAGCATGATCAAGCTATAGGCAGCCACTGTGGCATGCATCTGATCACCAGCCAGGGAGCTAAGCCACATATGGTACAGCAGACCTCTCCGGTCTCGCCCAATGCTCCCTTCAGCAGTGTATTTTAGTAGTTCCTCTGCCTGTTCTGTTCCCCACTCTCTCTCTGGTGAATTCTTTCACCACCACCATCACCCCCCACCTCTGGACTACACCCCAGTTCTTTTATGCATAAATAAGAAATAAATCTTTAAAAAAAATTATTCTCATCATGAGAAGATACAAACAAACCCAAGTTGAAGGATATTCTGCAAAATAACTGGGTTTCTCCACAGGTGGTAAGAGGATAAAACGCAAGAAAAATACTGAGGAAGTGTGAGATTGAAGGAGACTAAAGAGACAAACAAAGAAGATGTAAGATGAGGACCTAGACTGGATTCTGGAACAGAAAAATGATATGAATGGGAAAACTGACAAAATTCAAGGATGAGCTGTCGTTCAGAAAACAATATAATACTAATGTTAATTTCCTCGTTTATTGACAATAATAATATACTATCTGAAATGTTAGGGGATGCTGAGTACAGAGCATATGAGAACTCTTAATTTTACTAATTTTCTGTAAGTCTTCCAAAATAGTTTTAAGTCTTCTAAAATATGATATCCAGAGTTACCAAGGCAAGCAATGTATAAAAACTATCTTATTTTTGCCTCAAATGTCATTAAATAATGCTAAAATATGCTTTAACAGCTGAAGCTAGAACACACAGCTTTAAAAATCTAGCTCTGAAAAATTTGATCAATACATTACTGATTTCATTACCTGTAATTTTATATCCATAAGCAGCTAGTTGTCCAGCCATATATTCGCCATCTGAATTGTTATGAGAACAACCCCATGTTCGTATCCAAATTTTCTGTATGCCTGGAATAGTGCTATTAAACAATCCATCAAAAAAATCTCATTAGTGGATATTCGGATATTTACAATAAAAAGTAATAGATGATTTCTGGGCATATTACACAAAAAACACACTCACTACAATCCATTTGCAAGCTATTCATTAAATGTACCAATTTATTCCATAATCTGTAATTATACCAAAAGTCTAAAAAGTCTAATAACCACAGAATTCTAAAAAGCAATAAAGAATCTGGTTTCTCCAGACCACAGAAGAAATTAAAGACTTTCTATCAAAAAAAAACTCCTTTTCTCTGAATTGTATTTGAAATTCAGTACTATTAATGAACTCTCCTAAGTTCAACTACTAAAAGAGCATATACAAAACAACACCAGTAAAGAAAATAGTTCTATAGCAAAAGCAAATAAAGAAAAATTAAGTGCATATATCTGCTCACAAAGGACTTCTATTCCTAGTTCTATAGTTAGTGACATAAATAAATAAATCAAAATGAAAAACTGCCACTCAATGACATTATTTAAAGTAATACATATATAAAAATAGTTCTAAAAAAAGTAATATTTCTAGGAAAAGAAAACTTAATGTGGACTGTCCTAATAATGTATAAATACATAGAAATTACATTGAACACATTTAAGACAAATTTGATCATTTTCAATTATTAAAATATAATGCATAGGTTTTAAAATCTAAATGTCCAACCAAACCATCAAGTGTATTAAAACTTTCGACAGTTTACTAGATAAACAAAGGCATACTGAAATCACACAATGCATAATCCTTTTAGGCTAGGTCGCAGTAGAATGCAGTAGTATAAAAAACACAGTAACTTATTCATGCCCAGTGCCTTTAGTTGACTGTAAGTACTGGTAAATTTGCTAAAAAAAAAAAAAAAAAAAAAAAAAAAAATCAAATGCCCAAAACACCACTGCAGTGATATCAAAGAGATCCTTGAAAATGGGCGGGAGGTGGGGGGGGTGGGGGGGCTGAAGGTGAAAGGGCAAATACTACTGTAGACTCTAACTTCAAAGAACATGAAATATATCATCTTTCCTATTTAACCAATCACTTTACTCCATTTCAAACCATTAAAATAGACACACACACAAAAGTTCAAAGATTTTTAAAAACAAACATTGTATATGCCACATAGATGGGCAGTGCCAGTTTTTCCAAAATAAAAGTGAATATAACTTAAAAAAGAAAAAAAAAAAGTTACCTGTCACTTGGTGGACTGCTTTCCTCTTCCAAGTATTTTTGGGTATTTCGCCTTCGCACCTTTGGAACAACTTGCTTTCTTGCAAAATGCCTATCTTGAGGCTTTGAATCTTCTTGTGACACAATATCTTCTATGTCATCCAGCAGTGTGTCACAGGACGCGGAAGGCATCTTCCCTATCACAGAGAAAAAAATTATAATTGAGTCTACCTTTGGGTTTTGTTTAAAGATTAATTTAATTATGCATACAAGAAGTGGGGTGCAGGCCAGAGGCATGGGGAGGTGAGAGAATTCACCAGAGACAGACAGGCAGATTGACTAAAACATACTGATGAGGGGAACAGCGGGCAAGACAGGATAGGTCTGCTGCGCCATGTGGGTCACCTCCCTGGCCGGGATCGAACTCGTGCTGCAGTGACTGCAGATAGCTTGATAGTGCTGGGACTTTAACCCCTGTGCCACCAGGGAGGCCCCTTAAGCTCAAATTCCAAGAAAATGCAGGAGAGGACAAAAAAGAAACAATCAGACAAATCCTATTGATAGTGGGACATTCCAAGGTTTCACTGGAACCATTTCTGCAACAAATCAGTATCGTGGAGGAAAAGAAACAGGACAGGAACTGTAGAAGATTAAAGGAGACTTAAAAGCATAACATCTAAATGGAATTCATGTTCTTGATTAGATTTACTTTGTTCAAGCAGCTGTAAGACATTTTAGGAACTAAGGAAATCAAAGTTTGTATGAACTGCACACCAGATAACAAGATATCACTATAAATCATGAGATATAAAGTACTGCCCTTATGTTTGAAATTTTTTTTTCAGAGACACACTGAATATTTGGAGGTGAAATGTCATTAAGCCTATAATTGACTTTGAAACAGTATAAAATAGATTAAAACATATGGGAAAACATTTACAACCTTTAAATCTAGGAAGCAGATATGTTGGTATTATTGCCCTATCCTACTTGCTCAAATATTCAAGATTTTCATAATTAAGAACACGTGGACACAGCTTCCAGGAAGATGGAGCAGATCTACTTTTCCCTCTGCCTCCAACTTAGCACAACTAAAAGGCTGCGTATTACATGTAAAATAAAAATAAGAGGACAGTGAAGAGAGAAGACTGGCAAGGGTCATTGCAGCCCAAGGAACAATATACATGGTACGTTCCTTGGGTTTTCTTTTGCCTCCTCCATTCAAGACATGGAGCTGAAAAACCCAGAAACCCCAAGGTCCAAGAAAAATGAAAAAAGCCCCCACCAAATACCTGAACCCACAAAACTCAAAGGCCAAGTGGAGAGCCTTGACTTCCACCGTTGGCTCTAACCAGGTGTCCCAAAACAGCCCATTAAAGAACCATTACAGAAGAATCAGAAAAAGACAAGAGAGCGTACTGAACATCCAAACCAGTCGACCAGCCAGTAATGAAACCCCATTGTGACCCCACAATGCTAGTGAAGACCAAACTGATAAACAAGTTTAAAGTAACTCCTATCGAAGTCCCAGCTAGATTTTTCATAAAAACAGGAAAAAAAATGTTTTAAAATTTACACAGAAAGGAACTTAATATATCTAGGACAGTCCTTCTGCCCACCTGCAGGTGCTTCTTTTCACCAACTCTCTCCCTCTGCGGGGCAGTAGCCTCCTGCCTGCCTGTGACCTGTACCTGCCCAGGATTTCTCTGCACTGACCTCCCTCAGCAGAGCAGCTTCCTCAAGGCCGCCCGCCTGCAACCATGCAGGCCTCTCTCAGCAAACCTGTCCCTTTCAGGGCAGCTCTTTCTGCCTGCTTCTGCCTATGCAAGTGTCTTTTATTCTTCTGTTCCTTTTCCCTAATAAACCTGCTCTTTAAATGTATGTATTTTTAAAAAAGGAACTTAATACATCTAAAACAACTTTGAAAAAAAAAAAGTGGGAGGAATTGGACTGCCCAATTTATTTTTTTTTTCATGCTTTAGCACCAAATTTTTTTTTTTTTAAAGATTTATTTTATTTATACAAGAGCCAGGGTACAGGCCTGATGCGCGGGAGGGTGAGAGGATTCACCAGAGAGAGTGGGGAGCAGAACAGGCAGACGGACCGAAAGCACTGCTGAGGGGAGCAGCGGGGAGACAGGAGAGGTCTGTTCACCATGTGGGTTGCTCCAAGGCTGGCGGGGATCGAACCGGCACTGCAGAGGCTGCGGACAGCTTCACAGCACTGCGCTCAACCGCCTGTGCCACCAGGGAGGCCCTGGATTGCCCAATTTCAAGACTTATCTCATAGCCATAATAATCAAGACTATGTGGGGGGGGGGGAACAGAAACAGACCAATAGAAAAGAAAACTCAAAAACAGACCCACAGTAATATATACCCACCCGACTTGTCACAAAAGTGGAAACAATTCAATGATGGAAAGATAGCCCTTTTCAACAACTGGACAAGTACAGACAAAAAAAAAATGAACCTCAACTTAAGCCCTTATGTAAAATCTTACACAAAAATTAATTCAAAATAGATCATGGACTTAAGTGTGAAATATAAGACTATAAACTTTTAGAAAAACTCTCTGAAATTAAAGCTAGGTAAAAAATTTAGGATCAGGGCCTCCCTGGTGGCGCAAGGGGTTAAGAACTGCACTATGAAGCAATCCACAGATTCTGCAGCACGAGTTCGATCCCCGGCCGGCCAGGGAGCTACCCACATGGAGCAGCAGACCACTCCTATCTCGCCCGCTGCTCCCCTCAGCAGTGTACTTCCGTCAATCTGCCTGTTCTGTTCCCCACTGTCTCTGGTGAATCTCTCACCCCCCACATATCTGCCCTGTACCCCAGTTCTTGTATGCATAAATAATCTTTTAAAAAAATTTTAAAGTTTAGGATCAGCAAAAGTATGATCATAACAATTAAGTCTGACATCAAAATTAAAACTTACTCTGCAATAAACTACTTTCGAGAATGAAAAGACAAGTTACAGAAAGGGAGAAATATTTGCAAACTACCTATCTGACAAATGAGTATCTAGAACTCAAAACACAACAGTAAAAATAATTTGAGAAAGGACAAAAGATATGAGACATTTCACCTTTGTATATGAGAATATACAAAGAACAAATAAGCACATGAAAAGTGATTCAACATGACTAACCATTAGAGAAATACTAACTCAAACCACAGTGAGAGATCACTACCCACCAATAAGAACAGGTAAAATAAAAAAGGTTGACAACACCACATGTTGGTGTTGAATGCAAAGAAACCAGATCACTCATACAGACCTGTGGGAATATGACTGTCCAGCCACTTTGGAAAAGTTCGGTGTTATCTCATAAAACAATGCAACCCAGAAACTCTACCTCTGGGGAGGATTACCCATAAGAAATAAAGACATAGTCACACAAAAACAAAAACGTTTACAGCAGCTTTCTCTTTAATATCTAAAACCTGGGCACAACTCAGATGGCCTTCAACAGGTTAAACGGTGGTACATCAATACCATGGACTACTACTCATCAAGAAAAAGAAATATACTCTTGATCCATGGGTGAACCAGAGTAAACAGTCAACCCAAAAGGGTTATATTCTCTGTAATTACATTTACATAGCAATCATGAAGATGCCCACACGGCGCGGCAGACCTCTCCTCACTCGCCCACTGCTCCCCTCAGCAGTGTTTTCAGTCAATCTGCCTGTTCTGGTCCCCACTGTCTCCGGTGAATCCTCTCACCCTCCCACGCCTCTGGCCTGTACCCCAGTTCTTGTATAAATAAATTTTTTTTTAATGAATTAACAAAAAGAAATGGAGAATAGTTGGTTGCCAGGGACTAAGGAGAGGACATGGTAGGAGTAAAGTGAAAGACTATAAATAGTAAGAGAGAGCCTGATAGTGGTGCAAATACTCTGTATCTTGACTATATCAATGTTAGTGTTCTGCTGTGATAGGGTATTAGAGTTCCTTAAGATGTTACTAGTTAAGTGTACAGCATCTCCACATGATTTTTATAACTGCAAGTGACTACAATTATGTTAAAATATTTAAGGAAAAAGCTTCTAGGGGGATAAAGAAAAAGAAACTGTACTAGAGTTCACTTATAGTCCTACTAACCCTACGTACAGACAGGAAGCAAGCACCTCACAAGTCCTCCCGTGAGCCATCTGCAGCTCTGAGGTGAACTGCTGCTATTCTCACTTGAAAGACCAACCTGAGACTGAGATGCCCACTCACCCAAAGAAATACAGGGATCCCACACCAGGTAAGCCAGACGCCTAATGCCTGCTTAAGGTAGGTATACAGAGTGACTGCTCTTCCTCAGCTGCATAACCTGAACCAGGAACAAGGTTCCATGGTCATCACCAGTCTTAAGTCTTTCTGATTAATTTTCCTTCTTTTCAGTTGTTTGATTCCCATTTTTCCATTAACAACCTTCAATCAAGAGAGAGGCTTCCCACCAGGCTCATATAACATCCTTTACTGTAATGCACTCATTATAACTATGACAATTCTGGGCCTTTAAATCAGATAAACCACAGTTCAAATCGCAATGAGTTTTACATTGTTAGTGAGAACCAAACTTAGAAATAATCCAATTGGCAATCAATCAACAGTTGGTTAATTACAGTTAAACATACCATGTGGTCACAGCAGGCCTGTGCTCACAGGCCTCCCTTCCTAGACACAGGGATGGGGCACATGACAGAGCAACCCGTCCTCAAGGCCACAGTGATTGATCCAGGAGGATCATGACAAGCCCAACCAATGGAATCACCCCAAGGACTTCAACACCAAAACTAACAGCAATAAGGACTTCTCTCTTTTCACTGAAGTACCTTGAAGTACTTAAATTGTAAGGATGTCCTTATGATGTGCCCTCCACAGGGCGAAAGTCTATCTGAAGAGTGAAGTCTAGGGCCTCCCCTGGTGGCGCAGCGGTTGAGCGCTGGGCTGCGAAGCTGCCTGTAGCCTCTGCAGCACCAGTTTGATCCCCGGCTGCAGGGTAAGGGTCCCACATGGCGCGCAGATCTCTCCTGCCACCCGCTGCTCCTCTCAGCAGTGTATTTCGTCAGTCTGCCTGTTCTGTTCCCCGCTCTGGCTCTGGTGAATCCTCTCACCCTCCCGCACTTCTGACTGTACCCAGTGCTGTATAAACAAGTAAATCTTTAAAAAAAAAAAAAAAAAATGACGTCTAATAATAAC